AGGAATCTAGTTTTATGCATGTTTTTATGGGTTTTGACGGAATATTTTACGTTTGCCATTCTTTCGGTGAAGCACTTTTTTCAAGATTTAACAGTTCATTCAGTGGGATCCAGGGGAAACTTGCCAAATAATTATTGTTTAAACTCAGTAATCTATGATGTTCTTTTGTAAAGGAGAAAACCTTGAAGTATTATTGTCCAAAGTTTGATAGAAGAGAGCTCATGTAATGAAGAAACACGTTTGAATTCTAAATAAAATTCTTTTGAACCATAACTACATTTGATTTGTAGTTCAAAATAAATGACAACGCACGGGTAGTATATTGGTTTCAAGACGGATGTTTTTCGTTGAATTTTGCCCTATATATGATAATGAAAATGTTTATTTTCATTGAAGTTTTTACATAATTCTCAAACTTGGAATCTTGATGAAACTTGATTTTATGTGATTCTGTGATTTTAACTCTTCTATTTGCTGGGTATAAGATGCCCGTTCGTCTTCCTGAAGAATTTAAAATGTCATGATTAGTATAGGTAATCGTATGAGTAAAATTAAGGATTAATTTCACTTGTGTTTTCAAAGTTTTGAAATTGCCCTTGTCGCTTCGCGACTCGGGCAATTTCAAAACTTGGAAAACACTCGTGAAATTAATCCTTAATTTTACTCGGTCCCATATGATTACCTATACTAACCACTTAATCAAAATAACGAATCCCCCTGCAATTTTGCCGACCCCCACTCCCCTCTCCATGCGCTAATCTATGAAAGCCTCTTATTAGTGTCCTCGATAACTCATTCAACGCGGCGAAATCCTCTTCCACAGAGGTCAATGGTGTGTTCTTTACTTCCTCCTTTGAGGCACTACAAAGCCGCCAAAAGTTTCATTGCTATAGCAATTTTACCCCTTTCATCTATATATTTTTTTAGTGGAAGCTCAACTTGGCATTTCTTCCAGGACAGCTGAACTTTAAATACTWTGCCGTGTCTTACTAAAATTATCCTTTACACCGTAAAAACGTTTTCCCAATTAAAATTGAGTATGTTGAAAGGCTATGACCCCCAGTTCCTGGAGGTCCTGGTCGTGTCTGGTCGTGCCTTTCTCGCTATTTCACTGTATTTGATTGCGTATCGGCATCTAAAGCAATGAACTTTGATTACAGCTGGCTTCATCTGGTTTATTTTTGCTTTTCTTTTCTCATGTTTTATATATTTTCACTGACTCTAAACTGTCAGTACAGCGGGATCCCTGTGTCCATCAATGCTAACGCGCAATGCATGATAGGAAGAAAGAAAGATGGCGGACGCGTGGCGAAAKGTAAGGCTTGCTTCTTTCGAGAAGGTTTTTGGAGGTATTGAACTTAATTACTGTATAAGGTGGAATTTTCTCATAATATTTTAAATTCTGATTTTTGCCAAGTTTATAAAAGAGAATTTTGAATGTTGAAAACTCCTGAATATTTTTCCATACTTTCAGGTAATACGTACGTCTGTTGATATGTTCATCAGAGGACACAGTACACTATTACAGAGAGCATTTGTAAGTAGAAACTGTATATGGACCTGAAGGGTATATGTGAATGAAAGATAGGTACATCGATGAAGCATGGCCATGGAAACTATGCATATTGACCTATATACTCCTCACAAGTTAAAAGAACTTTTACAGTAATCTTGAGTACATCATTGAGTACATCAACCAAGGACACCCAAACAAATTTTAAATCAAATTCACAAATTACATTTTGAATGCTGCATAACAGATGAATTTGTGAATTTTGGATTTTATACTGTTTCTTGTTCACTCCTGATCATACACACACTCATATAAAGTAAAATATATGATTTTATAGAGGAAAATGTGAAAATTAGTGTRTATTGTTTTTAAAAATACTCAATGGTGATTGGCCAATTTGCCTGAAAATTTGTCTAGGTGGCCTTGGTCGGTGTAGTTGCACAGTAACTTACTAATTAAGATTAATCATTTATTGATTTGATGATTTAATGTTTCAGGTTCAGTTGTCAGGCATTCGTAGTGTGTCTCAAAATAACCTGCCAGTCCATTACAGGTACAGAGATCAGYTTAAATATGGAATCTATGCAGCWAGGCCAGGACTTGTAAGAGAAAATGCCTTGGAGTCTGCCAGAGTTGCAATCCTAAGAAAAGCCAAGACGAAACAAATCAATATGATCAAAGCACATATACCAATAACCAAGAAACCTCTYGGCACTCGTATGGGCAAAGGAAAAGGAAAGATTAATCATCGTGTTGCTAATGTTAAGGCTGGGAAGTTACTTTTTGAATATAGCTGTGACAGTGGAACATTAGCAGTTGAGGCATTTCATCAAGCAAGCAACAGATTACCAGTTAAGACTCATTTGAGGGTTAAACCAGATGGAAAAAAGCAAATATGGACACAATTTTAATATATGTTTTGTATAYACAAATTATGAAAAATGCTACAGAACTGATCAGGCTAAAATTGTGTTATTTTGTGGGGGATAAAAGAGATGTTTAGCAAGTCTTCCTGRTACCAGACCTATAGAACATCATAAAAATGGAGCAGAAGAATCAAAAAAWTAATATTTTGTGTATGTAATAATGGGAGATATTTCATTTGCATTGACCTGTTATTCTCACACTTGGGATAGCCTTAAATGAGTTCTGTTTCCATTAGGTTACGCTCTGATGCAATCTACTCAATCACATATGACCACAGGGAGCCCACTTAAGATAAAAGTGATAGGRAAAAAACAAGATCAGAGAAAGATTTGCACAAGATTCACTTTTTTACTTGTGTATATCTACATTAGATTYGTAAGGCGAGTAAGCAAAATATTTAAGAAATTGAAGGCCATTTTAAAAGAATGTCCATTAGTCACTTTTATTTGTGGGCATTCCCTATATATGTGTTTCATATGTCATCACGGCTAGTTTATACGGGAAACACAATGGAAAATACAATTTTTCGCAGTTTTCAAAACATTTTGTTTCTGTGTAACTATTAGTACTCAGAAGAAGTTAATGAAATTTATTTTCCACATCCATGCCTTTTTCATGTATTTTACCCCTATCCCAATTCTGCTAGCCTGCGTGCCTCCGAACGTTTACTCGTAAAGTTTACGACAGAAAATTCCGGATGCATCGCAGGCTAAATTCTGCCAAATGTCTCAAAACCAGGGGTGGCTTTCAAATGTTCCACAGAAGATTTACGGCTAATGAGTTCGTTCAATATGCTAGGGGAATGTTTATGCGTTTCCTTTTACCTTTTAAATAATGTTTATTATTAATGATTATTAGTCAAACATCGAGTTCTCATCTTTACAATCTATACATGTTAACAACAGGTCTCTGTGGTGCAATCGGTCAGCGCGTTCGGCTGTTAACCGAAAGGTTGGTGGTTCGAGCCCACCCAGGGACGTTACGTTTAACCTTTTAAAAATATTATTGATTTTGATTTCCATATTAATTATTTGTTTGCTTGACCTGCCGTCCATCATATATAATGGGTATCAATGTAGTGCAAATCATCATCCAGGTAGTTAAACGAGTTGAAAAGAACTGTGTGCTCTTATGCATGCTGGCGTCTCGTTCGTGTGATGTTCTTGATGTGCTGAGAGTAACTAAGCTTTTTGCTTTAAAATGTTAGATGCCTCAACAGGTATTTAACGTTACCTAGATTCGAGGGCCAAAGAACTACGTTAAGGGAAGATAACTACCGCAAATCGAACCCACATAGCTTGTTTAGAAGAGCACTTCTTTCTATGATTACTTTGCCGCAGTAAGTCGCATAAACACAGCTATAAAAACATGCCACAATTATCTTTTAATGCTTAAGAATTTTTTTATATTTGAATTAGTGAAATGACGTGTTGGAGTGCAATATTTCGTGATATACATATATATATATGTATATGTATATATTTATATATACTACTAATTTCTTAATGTATAAGCTGACTGCATAAATAGATTGTCAAGTGCATATGGACAGAAAAGTACGTGCAAAACCAGTTTGCTCTTTTCCTCTGATTAATTCGTGATTGGTGCATAGTCCAGTCTTGTTAGTCTTGTGCAGATGCCGGCTGTGGTGCATGCTGCTTTAAAATGGTCCTTGACAGAAGAGAGATTGGATCATAGAATGATCAGGTCCTATGGTCTTAGTGTTCGCCGCCCCAAACATGATTTGCTCAGCTGACTTGAGCACATCATCCTCGCGTTGGACAAATGGAAATCGAATCATTAGATTATCATTTCTAGTGCAATGAGCGGTGGGTGGATACATTGTAAAAGAATAGCGGTTTGGCTCGACTGATCTAGCTCCCAGGTCAGGTACTGCTGGTCGGATCAACATGTTTTGATTCTTAATCAACGTTGATTTGTCCTTGTTTACAACAACATTCTCGTGCAACGTGTTGGCCAAAGGTTTTCCCGTTCTTATTTTAGCTGTAGCCAATGGATGAACAGTTGTAGTGTCATGATAAGTGACTTGTGACGATACCCCTCGTGGCCACACAACAGATGAAGCCATGGGAGGTCGAGACTGACACACGCCATGTGATATGATGGTGTTTAGGTGACTAAGAAGGTGTGCCTTTTGATCTTCTTTGCAGTTCGGATCTCGGAAACCCTGCAAGTAACGAGACACTTGGAAAAAACATTCCCTGAATCCTGCTGCTCGATAGTCTGCGCCCTCGATGGAGGCTGGGATGAAAAAAGACAATACCAATTTGAGATAAGAGGATCATTCAACAGGCAACTGGTAGCAGTAGTATCAAACAAATAATAACTTTTTCAATATTACTAAGACATCAAAGAGTTCAAGCCTTGAAGGGAAAAACGACATTCACCATTACCCCCATACCCCCACTCCCCTCCAGAATCGTCTTTAATAGTACAATTTCGTTTGATGTTTTTAATGATTTCTCCAGGTTTAGGGTATTATCTGGGATTTATTGTTTTGGGGTTTATTTCTTTATTAAACTTTTGAGCCAGTGAAAGAAAAGTCGATATTATTGATTACTGTGGTTTATCGCCCGAGGATATACCAGTCCTAGCAGGAGGTGTGAAGGTAATATTGCTTTTTGATCCTTGTCAACATATGTTAATCAATATAAATGATGCTTGTTCTAAAAGATAATAGATAAGCCATTGTTAATTCATCCATCACCAAAAAAAATGTCAAGGCCGCTCGAGAGCATCTTGCAAGAGCATGTTTTAAATATACCATCATGTACAACTAGTGTCATAAATGAACAGCCAACTATATTGTCAAATTTTGAAGTGCGGCGAAGTGACGTTTAAGTCACACTGGCCCTACCAAAGAATTCGTTCCGACATGTTAATACTGCTTGCCGCCCTGCTTTTAATTTGTACCTGTCTCTCGTTTGGCGAGTTTTCGAACACTCTTCAAGTGTTCCACTGTCAGTTGAAGTATCTCTGCTTTCTCTAGTTTTGTCGAACCCTGCGGCGCGGAAAGGAAATTATTATGTAAATATTTTGTACAAAATTGATAGGTGGTTTTGAGCATGATAATCATGACGACATGAATGGTCACCTGTTTGTCTACTGCTGCAGGAACAAGACGACGCAGCTCCGTTAAACAGCTGTTGATTCGATCTCTTCTTTTTTTCTCGATCAGCTGAAGAAGACAATAAAAGTTAACGATGCATTTGCTAAAATGAGAATATAATGGCGCCGGGCCGTTGTACGTGTCAGTCGTCACAAGTCAGTGATATTCATCTTACCCCTCGCCTTCGCTTTCGTGCTGTTGTCTCATCATCTTCTCCTTCTAAACACCTGAGGATTAATGCCAATTAAACTATAAGATCCGACAAATTCCACCGAATGCCAGTAGATAAGAACACTTGTGGGCTTACCTCTCCCAGCTGTACCCTTCTTCATCTTCGCTTTCGCTGTATGCGCGCTTCATTCCTAGGTGCATGTGGCTATTAGCTGGGTTGTTGGATGGTTRGCTGTACGCACCTTGGAAGAAAGATTCGTTAACACACCGCACTGTATAAAACCAACAGAGAACCGTCCCGCTTCACCTACTTGGTATAATTACTAATGAACAAACGCTGAGTCGGTTCACTGCACCTTTTAGTCTTAACTGGATTCTGATAGGACGATGATTCTGGACTACTATGCTATGCACGTGGAGACAGAGAGGATCACAATTTATTGACTTAGCTATCCAATGGGAATACTACAATAGTTGAGTCTTTGGTCATGTACTGTTGAAAATAACAGACGTCGAAGTGTGTGTATGTAAATACCGTCCAAAGAACATCAGAGAACAACCCAGAAATGTTTAAAGTATTGATATGCACGGCAATCGACAGTAGTGGCGTACTACCCTATGGTAGTATTTGCTCCAGTAACTACTACAAGGAGACCATATTTAGATTGCTCTCTCACTGCACGCCGACAGAAACTTTGTCACCTCATCTGTAGTATATATGTTAGGACAAACGCCTTCCTCATTACTTCTAAGATTTAGCAAATGCGGAATAAGCTCAGATATAAAAGGTTAAAAAAAATTACAAAAATCTGGGGATACAATAGAAAAGAAGATGCAGATAGGTTGACGGGAGATGGAGCTCAACACACTGCTACTGCACAAACAAACCTTGTTGAATCAACATCAATTCATCTGGATTAAGCTTAGAATAAGAAAGCTAAGATTTGTTACGACCAGTAGTCTTTATTTATGTTTGTATTTATTAGTTATCAAAATTTGACTAAGACACCGTTGTTCCTAATTTTAAAGAATGCCTATTGCATGAGTACTTGACCGAATAATCTAGAAAAATCTAGACTTCTCATAGGCTACAAAAATAAAATACAAAATGCATCAAAAGCTTCAAATGCATCTTAAGCCCTTTGACGCCTTCTTTATTGTTCATGAAGCTTGAGAAACTTGAGTTTGGCATTCCTCCAAATTCCTTCTACCAGCGACCAAAGGTGGTTGGCACAGCAACGGAGTAAATTCCTCTACACATCAGGAAGTTCTTTAAGAACTAACCCAACAAACTGGCTATTGATATTCATACAACCCTTTTGATACGCACAATAGAAAACCCCGGCTATTGTGTGCATTTCCTGTTTGCTTTAAGCGTGCAGCTCCAATCAAATATTGGAAATATTTTCAAACATGTTTCAGTCCAGGTTCATATCTTTGCTTTAGTGCAATAACGAAGTGCATATACATCAATGTTCATAATATACCCGTTTTTAGCTACCAAAGATCTAAACATTTCGTTTGGTGTAATGGGTGTTTCAATGAAAATCACTCTTCTTCAGAATTACCGAAAAATGCAAAAACAATCTGAACTTCAGCAAGATAGTTATGCCCAGAGTTGATGCCGATATGACAAAGTTCAGTGTGCTATGAGCTCGTACTAAGGGTTAGCTCAGTATAGGAAGTGTTTTACATAATGTCCTGCTCGTCCAAATTCATTTGCTTCGCCTTTTCTTATTAATGCAATTAATTAGACAGAAACACAAACTAAAACGTCGTCAAACTTCATCCAAACTTCATCCACTTCAGCTCCGGCTGGCTGTGAAGTTGTGAGGGGAGGTCGAGCCAGTCCGCCCAAACGAAACAAAAATTAAAGCAAATCAAGTTTCTCAATGAGTGCCACAAAAATCATGATAAACACATGAAAAAGATAACTATTTATTATTAAACTCTGACATGCTAGCTAAAGGATGTTTCAGGTCTTATAGTAGCTTTTAATCGCATAGCTTAGCTTTTTTTATTGGAAACGACAACAAACTACTTACTCGGTTTACTTTTTTCTTACTTTTTTACTTTTTATATTTTTTTATTTTCTTACTCGGTATTTTATCAATTACAAATGCAACCCCCGCTTTCCTGATAAAAAACTAAAATCAATAAAAAGTAAATAAGGGTTGTCATGGAGTGTTCATCTTCATATTAACTGCATAGATGCTACGATGTGCCAATTCTGTACGTTATGCAGCCAAATGTTGCTTTTTTGATTCAGTTGAGTTTCAAACGGTCGTTTTTCAGTTGGCCGTCAGGTTGCGGTTCGGTGAGTTGGTTCGTTACAGCTGGAGAACACCTGTCTGACGGCATGCTAAGGAAATACTTAAATATAAACAAGAACTGATCTAGAAACGTTAAACAACATCAGCAAGTGCTGCCCTTATAATTAACTACACTCTCACTAATACACTCTTAGCAAAACTAGCTAAAAGTGCACACTCTGGAACTATCTCATCTCACATCTTTCTTGACCATCAGTCCTAGTTACATCGTCAAACACTAACGAACCCAATTACTTTTAGCTAGGACGGAAATTGAACGTCTGATGCGCTAGTTGTTATTCTTTTCAAACACTTCTCCCTTGATGCTTCGCCGTGTTGTTTGTTTGCACGACCGTTGACGCAAATCGCATCAAGCATTAATATAGCCCTATTAAGATGTTATCAGAAAAAGGTTGGTTCACTCGTGTTTTGATCAAGTCTTGATTTCTGCATGAGCGGTAAAGCGATACTGCTCGACAAATCAGAAACCATTCTCAATACAAAAATAGAGTAAAGATAAATGATTGAAATTTGTTTGTCATTTTTGCGCCACGCGGAAACATCTTTCATTATGATATCTTAATAGTCGTGGGGTGTGTGTGTGTGTGTGTGTGTGTGTGTGTGTGTGTGTGTGTGTGTGTGTG